GTCAGGTCAGACGGTTTCCCATAACGGAGGACAGGGCTGGAATGAGAGTTTATGTCTTCAATCTCTGAGCTCCACCCCCCATAGCACTACCTCCTCCCTCCTCCCTGAGCCAACTGGGGCTTCTCCTGGGGGTCCTGGAGCACAAGATTGGGTCTCCGTTGGACCTCACAGATAGCAAGGGTTAAGGGACAAGAAAGGAAATAATTCTGGCCTGAGAGCCAAGACAGGGGTTGCAGTTCTGACTCCATGCGGAGCTATGTCAGAACCACCCAGGTAAACCAGAGATGAGGGGTGGGCAAGCCCCCTCCCTCCTGAAACTGGTGCTCTGGGATATCCTACTCATGGCCAAGGACATGGCCCCAGAGACCTTGGGACCAGACAAAGAGAGGTGAAAGGAATAACTCTGATTGAGCACCTACTACATGCCTGGCTTCCCCAGGCACTTGAATCCATCACTCTAATCCTCATAGCATCTCTGCACATTTCAGGCAAGGAAACAGTTCAAACAGAAGGAAAGACTTGACGAAGACACAGAGTGAAGAAGTGGTGGGATTTGAACCCAGGGCTCTCTGATGCCAAAGCCCGTGCTGTTTCCGTGGAGGTGTCGGGGGCATCTCCTCCCAGGATGTCCAACTTCTGCCGATTTTGCCTGGGAGGAAGACAGCATCATCCTTGCTGCTTCCTCCTGAGTGTCAGTCTCAGCACAGGCACAGTGAGTCCTGGAGGGGACATGCCAGCTACACAGAGCAGGTTTGAGTATTTCCCTTCCACATACTAAGATGTAACCTGGGGAAAGGCATTCAGCCTCTTTGTGACTCAGTTTCCTCACCAGTTCAATCGGGGATTGTGTCTAGGGCATCAGTTCTTCGCCTTGGGTGCTCTTTAGAATCACTGTGGGAGCTTTTTAAGTACCTTTGCCTATGCTCCACCCCGAGAGAGTCCTATTGAATTGGTCTGGGTGGGGCTCAGCATCCGGTTTATTTTACGGCTCCTAAGAGGTTGGAATGTGCAGCCAGGCTTTGAACCACTGGTTTCTGTGCTCTCCCAGGACCAGCCTTTCTCATGTAACATTCCACATGGAGCCCTGGGCGCTGGTTTGCTGTTTGTCCAAGAATCACTTTGGCAGCCCTTCCTATGCCAGCCTAGACTTAGGCGCTCCAGCTCAGGTAGCAGAAGGGCTGTCCGGCAGCACCATGGACAGCGGACATTTCATCCTGGTTTCTGGAAGTCTGGGCTTGAATTAAACTATTGGGGAGGGAGAATGCTCAATACAACTCCCTTCTCTGTCCTCCCCTTCCTTTCTCTCACTCTTTCCTCTCTCTCGCTCTCTGTATAGTTCTACTCCAGGGGTCCTCAAACTACGGCCCGCGGGCCATATGCAAATACAAATATTGTATTTGTTCCCGTTTTGTTTTTTTACTTCAAAATAAGATATGTGCAGTGTGCAGAGGAATTTGTTCATAGTTTTTTTTTAAACTATAGTCCGGCCCTCCAACGGTCTGAGGGACAGTGAACTGGCCCCCTGTTTAAAAAGTTTGAGGACCCCTGTTCTACTCTCATTGACCCCCCCCCCTTATCCTACCTATAAGGTAGGATACATGTGGGTTTTGACATCAGATCGACCTGGGTTTGAATCCTACCTTCCGTATTTCCTTGCCAGGTGAATTTAGCCAGGCACTGTCCTTGGTTCTGAAAATAGAAATCTGCATTCTCAAAACAATCCTGAGAGCTTGGTAGTACTATCACCCTCATTTCACCAATAAAGAAATTAAGGCAGGGTGTTTCACTGCTTTATTTGGCCTCCATTTCCTCATATGTAAAGTGGAAATTTTAATAGAGCTTACTTCAAGGCTTTATTATATAAATCCTATAAGATAATATACACAAAGGGTTTACCAATATCCAACACAAAGCAGTCATTCAGTAAGCACAATATATCATTATCATCAAATAATGATATATAATGATGGATTTCATTTTTACTCATTATTAATTTGACATTTTCACTCTTCACTATGCGTAGCAGTTTTCTCTTCTGTAAAATGGGAATAATGCAGGATTGTACTGGATCATCTCGTATCAGGCCACCATCCCCAGAGTCACTGTGCCTTCCTCAGTTCACAAGAGCCAAGTATTGCTCTTCAGGAGTTTTGTGAGCCTCTTGATATCACATTGGTAGCTTGAAATTGGCCATGGCGGGGGTATTTACACCATGAAAATCAGCGAACGCTACAAAGTAGGGCATTCCTTCCTGCCCCTCCACCCCCTGGAGCTGATGGTTAAACATGAACCAGCACACCACTGCATCACATCACAGAGGGCATGAGGACTGAAGAAGCGAGTGGACGTGATGGTGCATTGTAAACTGCAAGCTGCTGAACCTAGGAGGGATGACCTGAAGATGGTCCCCCAGCAACTACAGGCCTGGCACCCTCTGTCAGTTCTGGGGAGCTGCTGACTTGCAAAGAAGGTGGGAGGGGTGTGGGTCCTGGGGAATCAGTTGTGAAGCACTGACCCTTCACCATCCCCACATGTTGGCATTAACTGTAATGGCTGCAATAAAGAATCCCAGATTGGGGAAATGATTCTATCATCCCTGCGGGAATCCCTGGGATGCAGCCAGGGAGAGGGAGAGGGAGAGGAGAGAGAGAGAGAGAGAGAGAGAGAGAGAGAGAGAGAGAGAGAGAGAGAAATCAGCCATATCCATGGAGAGTCACTTGCCGAGGGGAGGGACAAGGGCACCCTCTCTGATAACAGTTACAATAGCCAGTGTTTACTGAGCACCCACCAGGAGCCTGATGCTTTATGCATCTTCTTCCATTTCAGTATGTCTGCGAGGGGGCATAATTGTGCCATTGTGTACTGGCATGCAGTGCCTCCTGACTCGGCAACAACCTGCATTTATTGAGTCCTTAGCATGGGCCAGACACTGTCCTCCGTGCTGAAAAATTGAAACCTATTTGAAATCTCAAACCGATCCCAAGAGTTTGGTAGTACTGTCACCCTAATTTCACAAATAAGAAAATTGAGGTACAAATGGTTTTGTGCTATACCCAAGGTCAAACTGGCAGTAAGTGGCAGAGTCATGCGGATTGTGGTTCAGTACATCAGGCCACCATCCCCAGAGTCACTGTGCCTGTGCTGACTCTGACAACCAGAAGGTCTTTGGCCTCTGAGAATCCTGAGTTCAAATATCACTCCTTCCTCAGTCTGTACCTTCAGTCAAGGCTTTTCTGTTCTTTTACCCGTCTCCTCACCTGTAATTATGAGGGGCCCATTCTGCCTCTCAGAGATGCTATGAGAATTAGAGATGATGAATGTAAGTGGCCGGTGAAGCCAGGCATGTAATAGGTACTCAATAGTTTATTCCTCTCTCCTCTCTCTGTAGAATGGGGTGGAGGCGCCTGGGACCATGCTCTTGGCCCTGAGCAGGAAACCCCTGAGCGCCAAGCATCAAGAGGGAGGGGGCTTGCCCAAACACCTCTTCCCCAGCTTCTCCTGGGAACTCTGACATGGTTGACATGGAGCTGGAGCCACCAAAGAAAGAGGCGCATTGCAGAGCAGGCTTAGGAGGCTCGTGGGAGGAAGGACATGAGAGGGAAATGAGAAATGCAAAAGAGTGAAAAATAAATACACGTGTCTGTCTGGAATGATCGAGGGCCCCAGGCTGGAGGCGGAGAGGCCGGGCTTAGCAGAATTGCTGCAGTAGCATTTCCCAAGCCTCACTCATTAGCCAGGCAGTGAGCTGGCCTCCCCTCCCAGCACACTGCCCTACTGGCCCAGAGAGCCGAACCCAGGCCCAGGAGGCCGCTGCTTAGAATCCCAGGAGGCCTGGGCCCCTTCCCCTCACCAGCATGGCACTCCGAAGAGGGCATCTGAGTCTTATCCCCCTTGGGTCATGTCCTGGGCCCCCTAGCCTCCCTCTTGGGTCTTTCACCTCACCCCCTCCTCCCTGAAAAGGTTCAGATAGACCAGATGGCTTTTCTGTCCCCCCCCCTAAACCCTCTCCCCACTCTAACCCTCACCCCATCCTGTCCAGCCTCACGTCCCAAGCCCTGCTTTTGTCAAATTGAACATGATGTCAAATTAGAGCCATCTCTGGGACAGGCCGAGAGGAGCTCCCAGTTTAATGAGGCAGCGTCGAAAATCAATAACTTAATTGCCACTGTTTGATGGACTTTTATCCAATTTATACTCTCCCCAGCAGCCTACGTGCGGAGCATGAGAAGTGTGTGTGTGTCTGGGGGTGGGGACCATCTGCACGGGGGGTTGGGGAGGGGCCAGGAAGGCACCAGGGCCCACAGCCAACTATTTCCCAAAGGGGAAGCTGGGCACTGCCATTCTCCTTCCACAGGGACCAAGAGACAGACACTGGCCTCTGAGTCCCAATGAACTTGGCTGTCCTTCTGAGCTGCCCCCTCATCCTGCCACAGGATGGGGGATGAGGGAAGTGGGGGTGAGGGCATGGGGAGGAAGGAGGCAGAATTCCCTTGAGAAGTGCGGAGTGTGTAAGAAGACCCCTGCTTTGGGAATAAGGTGCCTGGTTTCCAGTCCGAGCTCTGACTCGATAACTGCCATGACCTTCCCTGGTGACAATGACCGTGACCACCACCCACTGAGAGACATGTCTGCTCTGAGCTGTTCCTCGCTGGGAGTTTAGAACGCATTCCCTCATGCACCAACGACTAGAATTTCCCCGTTTTGCTGGAGAGGAAACAGATTCAGAGGGGCTGCCTTCCATCGCCAAAGTCCCAGAGCTGGGTGGGAACCGGGGAAGGGAGGTCTGAACAGAGATCTGGCTCCGGGTTCCTGCTTGTGTCAGTCACTAGCGAGGCCCTTGGTCAGGAAGCAGGTTGGGACTCCGTGGGGGGACAGGGCCCGGCTTCAATGTTCCCCAGCCTGGGTATCCTCTCCCAGCTTCCTTCGGGGTGGGAAAAGGTGGGGAGGATGAGTTCAGCGGCCCCAGGTGACCCCTGTATCGCTTGGTCCCCCGGGCCCAGGCACATCGGTGATGCAGGTGATGGCCTCGGATGCGGATGACCCGACGTATGGCAGCAGCGCTCGGCTGGTGTACAGCGTGCTGGATGGAGAGCACCACTTCACGGTGGACCCCAAGACCGGTGAGGGGCGGGGCCGGGCCAAAGGGGCGGGCCAACAAGGGGCGGGGCCAGAGGGGTGGGCCTGGGCCGAGGACCACACGAGTTGTGTGCTCAGCCTTCTAACCACAGGGCGCTGAGGGTAGGATGGAGGACACAGAAGCATTTTGCCCGCTCCGGGAGACCCAAGGGACGGGGAAGGGGCAGCCGGACAGGAGGAGGGAAGGACTGAGAAATAAAAGAATGGGGCGGAGGGCACCTGCAAGACTGGCAGAAAAACAAAGTCGTCTGGGGGATGTGGGCTGGTGAAGGCACCTTTTCAGCAGTTAGGAGAGCTCTGTTCATAGGGCAGTCATAGGATCCGACGGAAAGACAGAAACCCACTGTTAAGGAAGAAAAGGTTCTCTGCTATCTACCGTCCTCCAACCACACCAGACGATGCCCCACCTCACTCTGAGGTTAGAGCCTGGTTCCTTCCCTGAGGGGCCTGGCGAGAGTGGCAGGGGGGGGGGCGGGGGGCAGAAGGAGGAGACTGCCCTCGAGAAGTGAGGTGGCTCGGTGGCTCTCTGGAGGTCGCACAGCTGGGAGTGGCTGTCAGTTCCAGGATTGGGGCTGTCACTGTCCCTGGCACCGAAAAAACAAATGCTGTCGGGGGCTTAGAGTCAGGTTGGGGCAGGGGCACAGGCATATGCATGGGCAATTAAGATTTTAGATACAAAGTTCTTGGAAAGCGGTAGCAGCATCTCCAAAGGATAAGAAGGTCTTGGCCAGACGGAAATTCAGAGAAGGGCATCCAGGCAGAGGGCATGGTGCAGGCAAGACTGGGAGAAGGGAGAACAGCCTGAGGCATGAGAGGAATTGTAAGCAACTTCGGATTGGAGAAGTGGGCTCCGTTGAGAAGTGATGTGAGAGGCTGGCAGGGACCTGATGGCCCAGTGTAAGCAGGTTGGAGAGCTTGGATTTTATTCTCAGGGCAGTGGAAAAGAGAGGGGTATTTGACAGATTTGCATTTTGGGTTTTTGGGTTTGTGTTTTGTTGTGTGTAAAGAGAGGTTGAGTAGTCCAGTCTGTGAGCACAGTTATAATTGTATTTCTTACACATAACATCCTTATTATTTTTCCTCCTTGCTAAGCTAATACATTGTAAAGAACATTCAAACATTGTGGAAATGTTTTTAAAAAGAAAGTGCATCCTACCCCCATCCCCAGTAATTGCAGCCCCAAAGGACGCCCTCAGTGTGCATATCCTACAAGATCCTGGACTCATTCTTTGAAAACGAAGCTATTTTTTAAATAGAAAATATATGTCAAGGTTCAAAATTCAAAAAGTCCAAATGGATATTTAGTGGAAATTCTTTACCCCTTCCAGTCCCCCAGCTACCCAGTCTGTGTCTCCAAGGCAACCAATGTAATTTTCTTGTGTATCCTTCCAGAGCTATTCTATACATGTACAAGAAAATAAGTACATGGATTTGTTTTATTTTTTTTACACAAATGGTAGCTATAACACACTATACACACTGCTTGCCTTTTTTGCTTACCAATACATCTTGAAGATTATTCCGTATCAGTACATAAAGAGCTTTCCCATTCTTTTATTTAACAGCTGTTGTGGATACACAAAAATTTGTTTCACCAGTCCCCTCTTGATGGACACTTATGCTCTTTCCAATCTTTTGCTACAACGAATAATGCTACAGTGAATAACCCCGTACATATATCATTCCGGGGGGCGGGGGTATCTGCAGGATGATTTTCGGGAAGGGGAAAAGCTGGGTCAAGGAGCACATGAATGTATTTGGCATCTGGCTAGATAATGCTAGCATGTACCAGATTGCACTCCTGAGAGCCACATGCAAGGGAACTCGGTTCCCCTCCTCCTCACCAACACTGTGGGTTCATTGATGACTTTGAAGCAGGGAAGTGACATGCCCAGGTTTTCATTTTAACAAGATCCCTCGGGCTGCTGCTGTATAGCATGGCTCAGAAACAGCGATTGAATTCAGGGAGACCCAGGAGCGTGGGGTGCCCAGCAGAGAGCCCCGAAGCACAAAACCCAAAGCCTGCACCCCTTCTCGGCATTCACCCAGACTCTGTAACCTGCTCCATCTAGTTATGGGGCCAGAGATGATGTAGGATTGGTTGTGAGGGTTAGTTGAGGTGCTGAGGAGGGAGTCTGAGGGCTGAGAGTGAGATCCTGAGAAGGGCAAACCTTGGGGCCTAGAGATTATAAGGGACTAGATTGAGGGGGAAATCCAGGGGTTCCTAACTTTGGAGCCTGAGACAGGAAGGGACACAGAGGGAGGAATGTGGAGTAAGAAAACTATCTAGAAGCTGAGGAATTCGTGGATGGGCACTGTGATCCGGTACAGAGCTAATTAATTCCGTTTTAACCATATTGGCTTTAAGATGAGAAAAGAGGAGAAAAGAAACATCTAGAACCTCTAGCAGGTTGTCTGAAATATGGACTTGAAGATCCAAAATGGTTGGGGTTCTGTAAACTTTGATTTCCCCATGTCCACAAGAGGGATAATAATACCCATCTCACATGATTGTTGTGAGGATTCAATGGAGGAGGAATTCATTCATTCAGCAACTCTTTATAGAGTGCCTACTGTATGCCCGGCTCTGTTCTAGGCTCTGGGAACACAGCAGTAGACCTACCCTCATGGAGCGTTTATTCACATTGGGAATACAGAAAACAAGCATGTAAACATACAACATAATGCCAAGGAGCAATGAGTGCGAGCAGGGTAAGGGGAGAGACTTAGCTGAAGAAATCAGGCCAGGACTTTCCAGGGAATGACCTTGGGGCAGAGACCTGAATGAAGTGAGGGTGGGAGCCACTCAGTATCTAGGAGAGAGCTTGCAGGCCACGGGAGCAGTGAGTGCATGAAGAGCTCGACGCAATACTTGGTACATAAATGGAAACTAAGGGGATGAAGAAGACAACGACGAGGATGATGATGATGACGATGATAAAACCTGAGGAAGTGGAGCCCTTAGAATTTATCAGCTTTTTTCAGGGAGGAGAAGACACAAACAGAGAAATAAGGGAAGGGCCAGGACTGAGTCTGGGAGGGGGCAGGGGTGGGCAGATGAAGAGTCAGACTCCAAGAGACTGAGGAGGACGGCCAGGTTCCGAGGAAGAGCATCCCCCGCTGCAGAGGGTCTGCAGGATGGGGCACGTGGGGAGCCATGGAGCCTGGAAGGGCAGGAGGAGTTAGTCCCCAAGAAGCCAGAGAGTGGGCACCAGGCAAGGCAGGCGAAGGTGTCAATGGGTCCTTGTTCTATCTAGGGTCCCTCAACTTGCTCAGCCGGAAAGGGTCTTTGTGGACATTTCCTAGACCCATATTTGCCCTCCCCTTTCCTTAGCCCAATGCAGGAGCCGCTCAGTGTCTTTCCCAGCCCAGCTCCATTTCCCCAGCCAGGAATATTCCACTGATGCGGGTCTATATTTAGCAGCTGCTGTGAGGTACAGTCTGTTCTCGCTGTGCAGATCGCAGGGAGCAGAGCCTGAACGGGCCTGAGAGGAAGGTGTGAGGGACGGGAGGGGGCGGGGTGCCACAAGGCCCAGTGCCAGAGGAGAAATTAATGTGTGTTTTAAAGGCCAGATCTGCCAGCAAGCCCCCCGCAGGGGCCACGGGGATGGCATTTGCAGTCTAATGAGGCATCACTTGGGTTCCAGGGCCCCTTCTGTAGCATTTGGAGGGGACAACAGGGTAGAGAGAACAACAGCTGGAACTGGGGTGAACAGAAGGCTGCAGGGAGCCGTGGCCAGGTTCTAATTACCAGCCCCACCCGTCACAGCCCCAGCAAGAATAGAGAGACTTGCTTAGAGACTTCAAGATATCTCTGAAAATTCCCAGATGGGCCAGAGAGGTCCGTTTTCCTGGGAAGGAATGACACTAACCTTTGTTGAGCACTTCCAAGTGCCAGATCCTGGGTCAGGATGATGAGCCAGATCTGGTTTCCACCCTCATGGGGCTTTTGTTCCAACAGAGAAGCCAGAAACAAATAGACAGCTACACCCAGGCGCCATGAGGTGGGACCGAGAGTCTATGGGAGTAAGTCGGACAGTCAAAATTGTATAGAACACCTACTATATGCCAGACCCTAAAGATAAGATGGTGAAGAAGGCCAGTATGGATTTCTGCCCAGTATGGAAGTTATTTATGGGACACCCAACCCAGGACCAGAGGAGGGGATCAGTGAGACATCCCCAAAATGTGAGACCTGCTGCTGGAAGCTTCATCTCATTTAATCCTCCCAACAGCCCTATCAACTGGATATCCCCATTTTACAGAATAGGAAACTGAGGCTCAGAGAGACTCAAGAGCTTGTCCAAGGTCAGATAGCATGTAAAAGATGGAAAGAAGTCTTGAACCATACCTATCTGACCCTGTAGCCCCTGCACATAGTAGGCCCTCAATAAGGGTTTAATAAATGAGTGAATGAATTTGCATTCAGAAGGTTCCAAGAACAGCTTCATGGACTGATTTGGGAGTTTTACCCCAGGCTCCCCAGAAGTGCACCAGCTTCCAGGAGGCTTCTCCCAGCATCAGGAGGCATATGGAGTAGATAGAAAACAATGTTGTCAGCTCCTCCCATCCCTACACTGGCCTCAGAGTGAGTGACTTTGCCATTCCTCCCACACCTTAAATCTGGGTGGGTTTTGACCAATAGAATGTAGCAGAAGTGATGTTTATAAATTCCCAGAGTGGGCTTTAAGAGACATGAAGCTTTCACTCTCTCTCCTGGAACATGGTCCGGACGCCCCCATAAAAGGAAGCCAGCCAGCCTGCTGGGGCATGGAGAAGGTCGCACCACAGCCAGGGTCAGCTGCCAGGCATGTGCATGAGGCCATCTTGGGCCTTCCAGCGGCTGACCCCCAGTTAAATGTATGAGCCAGGGAACTCAATTTCTCTGTCAGCTATCTCCTGCCATATAACAAACTGCCCCAAAATGCTGTGGCTTAACGCAACCATGGTTTATTATTGGTCATAATTCTGTGGGTTTGCTGGGGTCACTCAGGGTGGTGAGCCCCTGGTGGCCACCCCACTGTCAATCTGTCCATCTGTCCTCTATTTTCCTCCCTCCCCCCACCTTTCCTCACTGCTTCCTGTCCCTCTGCTTCTCATTGTCTCGTGGTCTCAGAGTTCCAAGAGGACAGGCCCCAGCACACAGGCCTGATCAAGCCTCTGCTTTTGTCACACTTGCTGATGTCCCATTGGCCACAGCAAGTCAGGTGGCCCAGGCCAGAGTCCGTGTGGGAGGGGATGATCCATGGTATGGATTCCAGGAAGTATGGTTCATTGGGAGCTGTTACCATAGCAACCTACCACTGAGGGTAACCCTGAGGCAGGGCCCAGAGGCACCATGGGTACCCACCTCCCAGTCACTCAGAGATGGCACCTGATCATACACTCAAGGCTTCATCACCAGTTTCCAAAAGAAAAGAGTTCAGTATCCTCATTCCTTCTGGAGCTGGAAGTGGCAAGGCCAGCAAGGAGGCCAGCCTCATGCCCATGGCTCCTCACCCACAAGTGGGACCTCAGCCAGACCCCTGCTCCAAGCCCCTGGCTGAGCTTTTTGTAAACAGGCTCATGGAGTGAGATCCCAGAGGTAAAGTGACACGCCCAACACTTAGCGCATAGTGAGTGCTCAGCTGGTCAGCTCCCCTCCCTGCCTTTACACCTGGTTCACTCAGGGCCCCCCTGTGTCTGGCCTGGTGGCCCCTCCACTGTCAGTCTGTCCATCTGCCCTCTCTTTTCCTCCCTGCCCCCACCCTTTTCACCGCTTCCTGTCCCTCTGCCTCTCTCTTGTCTGTTTCACTGTCTCTATTTTTTTCTCTCCCACTGTCTCCTCCTGGGTGTGATTTCTCTCTGGCCCGACTGCTCCCCTCTGTTTCTATCTCATAGGTCCTTCACCTCCCCTTTCTCTACCTCTGTCTCCATGGGGGTGCCCCTTTCCTCTTGTCTCTTTCCCTCCTGCCTCTCACCAGGTTTCTTCTGTCCATCTCTTTCCCCAGGTCCCCTTTTCTTCTCTCTTTTTCTCTCTTTCTTACACTTTCCTTCTCTATCTCTATCTCTATCTCTATCTCTATCTCTATTATCTCCTTCCCTCTCTGTCTTCATCCTTTATCTTCTCCTCTATTGTCCCTCTGCTCTTTGCCTCCTTCCACCACCTCCCAGAGGCAGAGGACACAACAGCCCCTCACGATCACAGTGTTGAGGAGCAGGAATAGGACGGGAAGGGGTAGATCAAGAAGGACCTGCTGCATGATTGGAAAAAACAGCTTGCCTGGTTGGGACCGAGAAGAGCAAGAATGTTCCAGGGGCTTACACAGGACCACCTACACAGCACCCCTCTGTCAGAGGCCTGGGCTCTACCCTTGTGCCATGTGCTGGGTGGGCGGGGATGCAAGGCAGGCTGGGTAGGGACCTTCCTTTCTTACTCCGTGCCAGCAGAGCAGGTCAGAGCATGGACGCGGGCCCCGGAGTTCCTGCTTGAATCCTGGCTGTGCGCCTTCTACATGTGAGACCTGGTCAAGTGTTTGGCCTCTCCCTGATTCCATCCCCTTCTGTAAAACGGATAATCATAGCACCGTCCTCATAGGCTGTGGAGAGGATTAAGTGGGACAGTTCCCTTCAGGTACTCAGTGCAGAGCCAGGCACAGGGGACACGCTCATCGACGGTAGGGACTGTCATTGTCACCTGGGATTCTCATGAGATGAAACTCCACACCGTGGTTCCCAACTGATTGTGTCCCCAGGGCCGTTTGACAATGTCGGGAGACATTTTTGGCCCTGGGTTTGGTGGGGAGGGTGTGCTGCTGGCGTCGAGTAGGTGGAATTATCCTGCCAAAATGTCCATAGTGCCGAGGGGGAGAAATCCTGTTCCTTGGGGAGGCTGTCCCACTTTACAGATGCGGAAACTGAGTCTCAGAGCGGTGGGGGGTTTGCTCAGGTCACACGGCCCAAAAATGGCAGATCGGGGGTCAATCCCAAAGCTCATCTGCTTCCAGGACCCCCCTCTCCTCAGGGAGACCTGTCTGACAGGGGTCGGGAGGGGGCCTCCTGAGACGCCTCGGGGCCACATATAAAGGGTCTGTGTGACCTTTGTTAGAGAGGAGGGTACACAGACCACTTCTCCATGTGGTCCCACAAAAGCGGGGCAACCCCAGGTGCCCCTCCCCCCGGTTCCCCCAGCCACACGCGCAAACACACAGACACACACTGCAGCCTCTTCTCCCGTTCCATTGCCTTTATTGGAGTCTGGAGGCTGCTTGGGGACATCAGGACTGGAGATTGGGTTTTATGGGGCACATCATGGGGCTGCTGGTGCATGACTCCACCTGGCGCTCAGGCCCTGGGCGCCACCTGTCACCACCTGGTGCTCGGCAGGTTGGAGTGAGTCACGGGGGGAGGCTCTGAATGCCTCATCGACTCCCCGCTCCACCCTCGTCTCCACTGGCAGAGACAAGAAACTCAGCCTTCCCCTCCGCAGCATCCATCTTGCAGTCACCTGCTCCTGCGCCCCTCTACCCCCGCATCCATTAGCAGCTTGAAGAATTGTCTGTTCCGCCATTAGCTGGTGCCTGGACAGAGAATCTGCGGCCAGGCTGGGGGCCAGGGGCTGGGGCTCTGAGGGCACGGGATGACGTCATCATGGAGGTGTGTGTGACAACGAGTGTGTGTTAGTGTGCATGAGTGTATGTGACCACGCATGTGTGCTTATGTATGCAGCACATGAGTGGAGGAGACATACCTAGTGTGTGACTCCAGAGTGAGTGCAATGAGTGTGGGGGCGAGTCCAGTTCACTTTGTTAAACACTCGCCAAGCTGTTGCTCCGTGCCTGGCTCTGGGCTGAGTGCCACCCACAGAGAGGCGATCAGGCGCAGGCCAGGCTCACTCGGGGAATATCAGGGTTCACCCTCACATGGGGACCTGAGGTCCCGGGAGGGGGGCACACAGTGGCAGGTTAGTCCCTGTGCCCCTTTTTAGTAAACCCAAGTGTCCGTTCTATTGCGAGTGTGTGATTATGTATGTGTATGCTTATATGTGTGAGTGTGTTTTTGAAACTATATGTGTGTATGAGTGTGTGTTTGAAAGTAGGTGTGTGAGTATGTCTGTATATAAGTGTGTGTGTTTGTGTATTTGAAAGTATGTATGAATCTGAGCTGTGTGACAGTCTTGTGTGTGAGTGTATGAAGTACAGAGTGTGAATTCACTGTGTGAGCTTGTAAGCATATCTGTATGAGCACGTGTGTGTGTGAGTATGTGTGGTGGCTGTTGAGCTTGCACCTGGACTGTGGCCGGGACTGTGTCTTCTGCACGCCCTGCTGAACGTGAGTGTGCCAGCCTCTGCCTGTGGAGGGGTCTCCATATCAGCTGGCAGCCGATGTGGGCATCCTGGGCCTCACCCTACTGCGTCCACAGGCGTGATCCGGACTGCGGTGCCTGACCTCGACCGCGAGAGCCAGGAGCGCTACGAGGTGGTGATCCAGGCCACAGACATGGCAGGCCAGCTGGGCGGCCTCTCGGGCTCCACCACCGTCACCATCGTGGTCACCGACGTTAATGACAACCCGCCCCGTTTCCCGCAGAGTAAGTAAGGCCTTCCCAGAAGGAGGCAGTATCTGTGCGTCTGTCTGTTACTGACCCCAAGTTCCCTTTTGGCTTCCCACCAAGAGAGGGACTCCCATTTAGATGTCTGTCTACCCAGCTGTCTGTCTACCCCCCCAGGCCAGCCACTCGCCCAGACCCCTTCCGGTCATGCTTTATGCAGAGGAGGCCCCAAAGGTGTCTGATTTTCCATCCATCCAAGTAACATGGTGACCTCCTCACCCCTCACCTTGGTTCCTGCCGGCGGGGAGTTCCCATCTGCCCACCCACCCAACCCCTCACGGCCCTCGCACACACCCTATCACGATCATTGCACGTGATCTGCCACTGGCCCAGGCTTTCACAGGAGTGGGGGCAGACATAGGGATACGGAAAGAGGCTGCAGCCATACCCAGGCCACGGGACCTAGTTGTGCCTGGAGACCCTGAGGTCTGGAGTGGCAGGTCTTCCCTCCTCCTCTGAGCCTGGAGGGCAAGATTCTGTGCTTCTGAATTATGAGGTCTTCTCGCTCTCTGCCTCTCCTGGCACAGCAGGGGATGGGGGTTATCTGGCCCAGTCTCCCACCCCCCCATCAGCCCGCTAGCCCCTCTGTCCCAGGCTCAGGCGAAGAGCTATGCCGGGGAAGCCTGAGGCTGGCAGAGACTAAATGCTGCAGGGAGCTGGGCTGATTCCTATCTGGCGAGTCATTACTCAAGGTCTGCTGCTCTCACATTAGGCCCCGCCACAGGGGACTGACCCCCAGGAGATAAGGGAATCCAATCCCTTAGCTGAGAGTGTGGCAGCGTCATCTCGGCCTCGCGCCTCAGCCCAGACATGGAGCGGGGTGGGCACAGAACCCTCTGTGGGGAAGCTTCAAAGCACAGGGTAGAGGAGGGGGAGTCACCCAGTCTTCTGCCCAGTTGTGCCTGGCTCTGTGCCAGCGCTGAGCTGGAAGGGGTGGGGCAGAGAAAAGAAAAGGCGCCAGGGCCCCAGGAAAACTCCTGTTTATTCATTCCTTTATTCATTCTTTATCCATCTCTGGCATTTCTTTATTGGGAAATAGAGCACACAAACAGAAGGACGTAACGTATCAGTGTAAAGCGGACACTCCTGTAACCACCAAGCAGGACCCCGAAGCCCCCACATGCGCCCCCCTCCCGATCATAATTCTCCCCCACTCTTCCTCCAGAACTAACCAGAATCTATCTGCTCGTGGTCTCCACCTCCTGGCCTTTCCTTAGGGTCAGTGCACCTACATGTGCACCCCCTAACATCAGTTTCATTTCACCTGCTTTTAACCATATAAATGGGATCACACCATACAAAGTGTTTGTCATGCTCTTTTGCCTCTCAAAATTACATTTATGGAATCGTCTGTTGTTACTTATAGCTGTCCTTCGTTCATTTTCATTGCTGTAGAGTAGTCCGGAGTTTCGCTGTTCTGCTGTTGATGGACATTTGGGATGTTTCCCGTTTGAGGCTGTTATGGAGGATGCTGCTTGGAACATTGTTGCACAGCTCATAATGCTGTTCCGCACACATGCCTCAGTGAATATACAGAGGAGCAGAATAGCTGGCTCATGCGATATGCTCATCTTCAACTTTACTAAATAAAACCAAACTCTGTTCCCCATGAAGAAATGCGAATGTGGCCCTCGCTGCTTTGGTTCAGTGGATAGAGGGTTGGCCTGCAGACTAAAGGGTCCCGGGTTCGATTCCAGTCAAGGGCACATGTCTGGGTTTCAGGCTCGATCCCCAGTGGAAGGTGTACAGGAGTCAGCTAATCAGTGATTCTCTCTCATCACTGATGTTCCTAACTCTCTCTCCCTCTCCCTTCCTCTCTGAAATCACTAAAAATATATTTTTTTAAAAAGAAAAGAAACGCATGTGTCCATTGTACCACATCCTCACTAGCCCTTTGTACTATCAGATTATTTCATTTGTGTTAATCTGGGGAGGATATACCAGTAACTCACACTGCTTTTCGTTCATTCACTCACTAGTCACTCACACATTTCTTTTATGTGACAGTCTGGTGTTCTGCCAGGTACTGAGAGTGCCGGATGAATAAGAGATGTGGTCCCTGCCTTCTGAGAGAGAGAAAAAAGAGAGGAAATATGAGAATAAACAGAGAGTAATAAGTAATAGGGAAATGCAGTAATCCTCACACTGGGATCAGCTTGGGGGCCCTGGGCACACAGGAGCAGAACCTGGAGGTCTGGGGATGTTCCCTGGAGGAGGTAACATTCTGTGAGACTAAAGGGAGAGTGGGAGTTGAGGAGGCAAAGGCAGGGAGGAGAATACAGAGTGGAATGCCCGGAGGTGAGGCAGAGCAAGTCACATTTAAGGAATTACAAGGACTGCCGCCTGGCTGAAGCTAGAGTTGGGTGGGGCAGCAGGAGGATGAGGCTGCAGGTGTCAGCAGGAGCCAGCCAAGGGACTTCTACAACTCCATCCCGAGGCAGTGGGGAGCTGTGTGAGGGATTAAAGCAGGGAAGTGGCATGATCAGCTGTGTCTTAGAGAGAGAGCCCCCCCCCCGCCCCCCAGCTACTGCGTGAGACTGAGAGGCACCAGTTTACACAAGGGGTATCCAGACCTGTGTGGGGACCTCAAGAGATAGCGCCCACCTCCACCGCCCCTGCTTCATCTGCACTGGCCCATCATTTAGCAGATCTCCCTCACCTCGGCCTCAGCTCTGGGGAGAGGTCAGGTGCTGTCTGCGCTCCATCTGACCGCATTCCTTCTGGTTTTCCATCTGCTTCGCCCCTGTGGCCACAATGGTCATCTTGCCATTCTTCAAGCATCCCAGGCATTGCACCCACCTCAGGGCCTTTGCACCTGCTGCTTCCTCTGTCTGGAATGCTCTTTCCCAGATATCTCCTTGGCTCGGTCTTCTGCAAAGATGTCACCTTCTCAGTGAAGCCTTTCTTGATCACCCTGTTTAAACGTCCACACACACCCTCATCAGCCCTCCATCTCCTCCCATGCTTCATTCTTCTCCTACGTACCCATCACCATCTGACACATGCCTGTCTTACTGATGTGTTTAGTGTCTTTCTCTTTCCATTGAGAGGAAGGCACTGTGAGAACTGGGATGTTGGTCTGTGTTATTTGTTGCTGTAACCCCAGTGCCTAAAACTGCATCTGGGACATCATAGCTGCTCAATAAATAAGCAGAAATCAATGTCAACAGAAAAGTCAGCATAAAGCCTCACTGTTTTAATATAATTTGTTCCACTTATTGAGTAGCTACCATGTGCTAGGCAGTGCAGTGCGCATTTTGCAGGCATTGCCATCTAAGTTAATCGTGATAACAATGCTGTTAGGAAGACACTGTTATTCCCATTCTACAAAAGAGGGATTCAAGGTTCAGGATTACAAAGCCAGGACTGACTCCAGAACTTTAGCCTTGACCATGGTTCTCCTTTCTCACCCGCGCTGGGCAGATGAGGAAGCTGAGGCCCAAAGAACTGCAGGCACACTCCCAAATTAATCAGCAAATAAACCCAGGGTCCGATTTAGGGCCCCCGTCTTCACACTGTCTCCTGCATTTCTGCAGAGGACATGCCTCTCCCAGCACCTTCCTGGCCAACCTGGGAGCCCCTTGCAGACATTGCCCTCCCTGGAGCCCATCGGGGCCCCCCTGCTCTCCCCTAGAGCTGGTGGAAGCTGCCCCCATCCCTGCTCACAGCCGTATCCCCTACAGAGATGTACCAGTTCAGCATTAAGGAGTCGGCCCCCATCGGCACAGCCGTGGGACGCGTGAAGGCTGAGGACTCGGACGTGGGTGAGAACACGGACATGACTTACCACCTCAAAGAGGAGAGTGGCACTGGTGGCCATGTGTTCAAGGTCACCACAGACAGCGACACTCAGGAGGCCATCATCGTAGTGCAGAAGGTAAGGCTGCCCCAGGAGGGATGGGGGAGGCAGGCTCTAGGGCAGGGGTGGGGAGTATCCAGCCCACGAGCTGTATAAGGCCCGAGAAATCATTTGGTCTGGCCCTGCCAAGGCATTAGGGTGAGTTAATTAAATGTTTGACCAAATATAGCAGGCTAATTTTTTTGAGTTGATAATTTTGTATGGCCCGAGAATGATGTTATAAATATCCAAATGGCCCTTGGCAGATAAAAAGGTTTCCCCACCCCTGCTCTAGGGGATGGAGTCAGGGAGGCCGCTGACAGCCAAATACTCCCTCCCGACTCCACTCCAGGGATCAGGTCTTTACAGAGACCCAGGGCCACCCTGGGAAAATGCTGATGGTTTCCTCCCCATTTTACAAATGAGAAAATGAGGCACAGCAAGGTTAAGTGATTTGTCCAACGTTGCACAGCTAGTTGTCAGGGCCAGGGTTCAATCCAGATTTGAACCAGTGCTTTTAATCACTACTAAGTGCTACTTCAAGTCCATACCAGGACCTTTACCTGCATCATTTCCTTTAATCCTGGCCTTTCTCTCTGAAGGAGACATCATTAATATGCAATTTCACAAGTGAGAAAATAGGCTCAGAGGGGTAAAGGGGCTTGTCCAAGGCCCCACCTATAAGGGGTAGAGCTGGGATTTGAACCCAGGTCTTGTGACTCCAAGCTCTCTCTTTCCTGAGTCTAACAGTCTTCCTCACCCTTTGGCTTGTCCAGAAACCAGAAGTCAAAAGTACAAACTCAGTGAGTCCTAGAGGAAGAAGATGAAGGTCAAATAGAGAAGCAAAATCCATTTTCCAAGACATGGTCATGGGCGTGGCAACTCAAGCTGTGCAGGCCTTTGAGACTGTCCACTCCAACCCTGCTCTCCTGCAGGAGGTCAAATCCCCTGCACTGGCTCTTGGTGGGGGTAGACCTTTGTACACGTTCAGGGACAGGGATGCTCACTCCCTGTCATTGTCCA